TTTTTTTTTTTTTTTTTTTTTTTTTTTTTTTTTTTTTTTTTTTTTTTTTTCATTACACCTGGCGAACTTTTGAAGGTCGTTTCGACCATTGTCGACTGGCCCGTAGTTGAATTACCATCGATAGCAGCTCTTTTGGACTTAACTTTCTCGTGTTCTCAATTATGCAGGGTGACTATGCCTTTGCTTCACAGAGACGTTTCTTGAATGGAACTTAGTTCGTCAATCGAAGGGCCTTCTTGACTAGACTTTTTATTTCTTATTTTGACCTCGACATCTAACTTTGCTCAATTTTTGTTAAACAGACGTTGGGGACTTTGAGAAATGTAACCTGGCCAGGATTCCTTCCCGTGTTGTCATGAGCAGACCTGGAAACAAGTTGGAAGGTTTGAGGCAGTCACTCCTTCGCCTGGATGAACTCTTCCGGTCAAAGACGCCCTCGTTTCAGATGTTTAACTCCTCTGCGTATGGAGGCAAAGATTTACTATTCAAAGACTCTTCCGTCAAACTCGTAGATGTAAAACAAAAGAACTCGACCGAGGCCTGGCTCGGTCAAAAGTACTTCAAAGCACTTCGAACACTTAGCCATTGCCAAGAGGTGGTAGCCGCGCCCAGATCACTCACGATCAAACTCAAATCGATGAACACTGGACAGTTGTTGCTATTAGTCATCACAGTAGTTTGTTTTCTTTTTAGGATACAATATGATTAAAAACTCAAGTATCGCTCCTGGTGCAAAGAGTTCGGCGGATATGACACGTGCAACTGAACAGTTTTCCGGTCGATGGGGCGATGAGCACGCAAATTCGGGAAAACGATTAATTGCAGAATACCCGGCCAGTTTGCAGCTGCACCCCGCACAATGCCTAGGTAGCCGCGGCAACATCGTGATTTACGCTTCTAGGCCAGTTGCTCACATCTCGACCGCAGACCAAGAAGAATATATCTGGTTACGAGATTAGGAACCTCGCAATCTCGGAAACGTCACGGAAACAATATTATAAACGTATTTCTTTCAGTTGAAAAGACAACTCTTAACATTTTGAAGGGACAGAATTAATGAGATATAAATGGACAATCAATCGCCAACATAGAAAAATAAACAATAATCGAAAAGAAAGTGGGAAAGATTGTATGAAATAGAATTACTAAAGGACACGAAAACCATGTTTCATTAAAAACAGACAGTAAGAATAATAGATAAAAAAAAATCAACCAAGCTAGGAGTTGCAAACGTGCAGCAGCCTGTTTACATACTTCTTGAATCTCTAAGAGCTCCCCAATAAACAACAGTAAACCTAAAAATACATAAATGATTTTTATTTTTCTACTTTTCTTTAGAAGCATAGCCACTACGTTTAACAATAAGTTTAGCTGCGTTTTATCAATTCCTGCGACGGACTCGTTACTCCTTTTCACTCAAGGCTCTCGGCTACAGCTTTTGCTTACAATAAAAACACATTTCTATCCCTCTATCTTCCATTATTTTCAACCTGGCCCTTCATTACTCTTTGAAATGTATCCTGCTGTGTATCCTAATTCAATATGTCATCTACGCATTGCAGACTCAATGCAATACGAGGGAGCAAAACATAGTGAACCTGATTGAAATAAGACGAATTACGCACAGCTCTGCCATTTGGAAGTCCCATTGGAAGGTCACGCAACGCTTCTCCGAAAGAGCATGGCGTGACGTGGTCGGAAGTACCGGTCATGAGGGACTATTTACTCAGATAGTCAGCCTAATGAAGAACCAGTATTCAAAACGTCGATTGTTTTACCTGAAAAATTCTATTCATTTGTAACACTCCCACACACTTTATTTGTACTATGGAAAGCCCGCGCATTAGGCAGTAAAACAGCTAAGCAGATCCACAATGTAGGTATCTCTAATCAACTAATCTAACAACTGACACATACACATGAGATGCGCCAGGTTTCGTTTTCTCATTCTACAAAAAGTGCTGAGCAGCGCCAAGCAGCACAAGCTCGATGATTGGAGCGACTGTGCACGAAATGGAAGTCGGCGCGGCTATGGTAGTAGTAGTAGTGGATGTACCATTGCATGACGTCATTGCCTCACGGTTTTGGCCGTAATCTTTACCAAGGTAATCATCGTAGTTTCGCTTCTCGGTTGGAATAGCCTTCAGCTCTGTGGTGGAATCTTTGAAAAGCAAATTGGAGACATTCCCGTACGTGGAGTACCTTGTGGAGTTGAACAGCTGGAAATTGTTCCAATCTTTCTGATTGCTACCGTATCTGTCGCTCATGGTTGTTAAAATCTTAATGATGTCGTCGATGTTGGTGTTGTCTTTTCTTGTGACCACTGCATGCCCGGGATTATTGCCAAGATTGCAACTTTCATGGGCTTTGCCAGCAACGCCTGTTAAAAGAGCACCAATCATGTGATACAGTCATTTTGTTTTTGCTATAAGAATGTACTTTATAAGAATATCAAGGCTATTATAAGAATAAACCCAAGGCTGAGATTTTGAAAACAATGTAATTTTGTGCGTTGAAAATTTGTAGATACAATACAATCCTATGTTTTTTATTAAACCGTATAAAATTATTCCTTCCTCTAAACGGCAAAAATAGCAAAAAAGTAACGAAAATTAACAGCGCAAGCCGTATATTCGATGCTAATAACATTTCTGCAAGAAGTTATGAGTGGCATATCAGGCTGCTCCATAATTACTTCAACGCCATCAAAGTCAGTAAAACCGAAATGCCATACGCCAGAATCTAAGAACTATTCACAAGAATATTTTCGGCCTAAAATCGGCAGAAAA